AGTATCAGATTGTTCCATCTCGTTTCCCTTTGGGGTTGCTGTAGGTGATCCAGAAGTCTGTTTTTGAGGCTTGTTTATGTGTCTTCTCATTTCCGGGTGTGTGTGGGGGTGTGCTTCTGGTGCCTGTGCGGCTCACCTTCTCTGCCTTAGGAGCTTGGGATGGTGGCGGGGGAGCTTCCTTCTGGGTGCTGGGACTGGCTCAGCTTCTTGGCTCTAGGAGCTTGGGATGGCAGCCTAGACTCCACATTTTGAAGAGAGGAGCTGGGTTTCCTTGGGTTCATCAATGTCCCTTCCAGGAGAAGTGGTGATAACTAGTGCCTAAGAACTCAGCCTTAGGGGCAAGGAGCTACCTCCCACTTGAGTGAGCATAAAAAAAAAATCTCACTTTTAATATATTGAGGTTTTAAAATTTAACCCTTTGGAGAAATTTGACTCAAATAGTGGGAGCAGTTGTTCTTCAGAGAGCCTGGAGGGCTAAAAAAAATTACTCAGTATCTTATACAGTAGCCATGAAACTACAAAGGAGAGGCCAATTATGAGAAAAATGCCATGGTAGGAAACATTTATGCTGGTATCTGACTTTTGGCTTCATATCTAAGAAACTTCTTAGATTGTTAATAATTTGATTTGTCCCATGATTCTTATATGTGTTAAAGTCATCATTTATTTGAAATTTACCTAGAAAATTTAAGAGAATATGAAGTTTGTGAATTCCAGAATATTCATGGTACATTCAGCTGTGCCTTGCTTGGTTCATCGGTCTTGACTGGACCCTCCAGCATTCAGGTAAGCCTAGATCAAGGAGAGACTTCTGGTAAGATCATCATCTCTAAGTCCTTCACCACACAGTGAAGGGAGAAGAAGCTGAGACTTGCACAAAGTCAGAGAAGAGAAGCTGACTAGACCTCAGTTTCCTGTCTCAGTTTTCTGCAGTAACTGGTCTACAAGAAAAGTGGCTTCAGCTTGGTAGGAAAATGTCCCATAATGTGTTGGCTCCATGAACACACTGGTGTTGAATACCAACAAGGAAGAATGGAGTTAAGATTGGTGTGTATATTATTAAGGGAGAAAAAGGGAAAACATTTGTTTTTGCAAGCCACATGTAACTAACTAGAAATTAACAGAGAAAGTTTGTCTTATTTCATATTTATTGGAACAAATATCCACTGGCCATCAAACTTGAGGAAAAGCTTAGTATAGTATTAATGTTACCAGTTTAGAATGAAATCTTTAAAGTTTCTTTCAGAGACACCATTGTTGTGGATTGAAATTCAATATTAAGTCATAAAAGGTTGTAGAATTTCTGAAGTGTATAAAGGTACCCATTTTTCTGTAGTTCATTTGAAGGACACAAGAAAAATATTTCTTATTCCCGAATTTCTTTCTCCTTTGTCTCCTTGGTGTCTAAAGTGTTTGCTTTTAGTTTCTGACTTTTAGATGTTGATCATGGTGGAAAACTGAAGAGATGCCAATGACATGCAGTGGTTTATTATCTTGAACTAATTATGAGTACTCTATCAGAGGGTAGACTGAGAAATTGAATGTAGGATGGGTAATTTTAATGAAAGCAGTAAAAAGAGTCTGATGAAGGGGATTCTGCATCATGGGGAGCACAAGGGGGGTAGCATAAAGTTACTTTTAAACATGAGAATCATTTTAAATGATGCTTCTCATTTTAAATGATGAGTGAAAAGATTGCCTATCCCATAATTTTATGTAGAGTTTCATCTGATGATTAATAATTGATAGACCTTTCTTTTTAAAATAGCAACATATTTATAACATTTATATGCTTTTTAAAAAGTTACCATGCACAGCTATAACTATGACCTGATCTAAGCTACTCTGTTCGTTAGCCAGGACAGGTACTAGTGACTCCATTCTAGAGACAAGGTAATTGAAGTGCAGGGTTCTTTTTTTTTTCTTTTTTTGAGACAGGGTCTCCTTTTATAGTTCAGGCTGACATTGAACTCACTGTGTAGCCCAGGTTGACCTCGAACTCACGGTGATCCTCCTGCCTCAGCCTCTGAGTGTTGGGACTATAGGCATGTCCCACCATACCTGGCTTAGAGGTACAAGGTTCTTAAATAACAGTCCAAACTCATAGCCTGTTGAAGAGCTACCATAAGATGAGAACTTTTGTGTTTTGGTTCTGAAGTTCCTCTTTCCTTTGTACCACACAAAGTTGGAGAAAATAATTTATGTATTGGGATCAGATGTCCTAGGCTTGAGCTTGCCACTTTTATTACCAGCTGTGTGATTCGGACCTGCTACTCACTGCTTTGAATCTCAGTTTTTTCTTTTCTGTAAAAAAAAGGGAATAATCCTACTGGTAGGATCGATGTAAAATCCATTAAATTCATGTGAGCAAATCAACCAGTTTAATGCCTGGCACGTGGCAGATACTCATCACATGGACTTATAGCCACCTGAAAAAACATCTACTGTCCATATTTCATGTACTTTACCTACACTGAAAGATGAAGTGATGAATCAGGCAGCTTTGCAGTTTACTTAACAAAGCTATATCTCCTTCGTTCACTTTAATTCCTGAAGGAACGAGTGTGTGTGTGTGTGTGTGTGTGTGTGTGTGTGTGTGGTAATGTGCACATGTTCACCTTTGTGCACAACCTAGGGTGCACTAGCGATTCTCTATGTTACTGCACTGTGTGGAACAAGACAGAGTAATCAAACACGGAACATCTGTCTTTTGTAGAAACTGAAAACTGAATCATAACTATTAAACTAATTCAACTAGGTGAGTCTCAGCTCTGTGACATAGCTGAGTTCCAGAAGCATGGACATTTTATTCTCAAAGTATCAGACTGTTAGTTTGTGTTCCCAGCCTGATGACCTGGAAGATTTTGGGCAATTTTCTTTAGTAGACACAGTTATGAACTCACGCAAATTTGCATTTGTTTTTGAGTGTACTTTATTTACAATTAATTGTTCATTCATGATATATTTTAGAATCACCTCGATTAAAATCAGTACATAAAATAATCTTCACTGTATTTGTTACATATGGCACAGAATAATTGAACACTGTATAAACGTTTCATTGATGCACAAATGGGAAAAAGCACCCTTTGCTAAAAGCAGTATGATAATTTAGTTCAACTTGGCTATGGTGGCACTTTAAAAAATGACCATGAGGTGGCGCTGTGGCCAAGTATATTACATATGCTTTAAACTGAGTTTTCCCTGACTACGGCATTTAATTTCTTTCTTAAGTGTAGATGAATCTATTAATCAACCTAAAGTAGAGTAAGGTTGTTACTTTGTTACTTTAATTTTGTCTAGGAGTGAGTCCTTTGTCGCGGACTCTTCCACTCGGGTGAGGAGTGTACTTAAAAAGCCATAGTGCTCAGGAAGTCCCCAGACTAAACAAAGGGCTCAAAAAATCAATAAATTCTATATATGGACTATTGTTTTTGTCATCCTTACAGAATTGTTTTAAAGTCTTTCCACAAAATTAGAGCAACTTCCAGTTTATTTAAAAGATAAAACTCTGTTACACTTTAACCTCCTTTGACGGTAATGGAAGGTCATAGGAATATTAGAACATGAATTCACATTTAAATCAACATGATACAAACATGCACACATGTGTAAATACTGAATGTTCTCATTGACTTGCTCTTCTTCCATATAAATATATAAATATTGAATAAAGTGCATGGAAACTTGTCTGTACATATATACAGGTACACATATCTATATACATTTAAGTAGATACTTTTGGAGCAAAAAACCCCACAGTAACCATTGTTATGTATGTTTAATCAAAAGACATTTGTCAGGCAATATTTATTTATTTTCATTCTGATCAAGATTGAGTGTATGGGGGGTAGAATCTGTAATCTTTTCTCTAATATATAATGAAATGTGCAAAGTTATAAACTAAGGCAAAATACATGAGAGACTTTACCATTTACATTTTCATCATTTTGAATGGCATTATCCTTAAGGAGTAATTCAGTTGAAATGCACCTTTGGTACTAGTGGCATATTATAGATCCTAGCTTTGAAAATGTGAACCATGTTTCAAATTAGATCTGTAAGAACATAATTAGGATAGCCCCAATACAGTTCCAAATTGCATAATGATGCTTTCTATTTTGTTTAATTTTCAAAGTCTTATGGCTAAACTACATTATATCCAATAGAAATGCATCACCATTGTAATCACATATCTAACACTGATTTCAGTAAAAATGCACAATTTAACCTTGACTATTACAATGTCAAGGTAGATTAACTACTTTTCATCTTTTTCTCTCTTTAGTAACCATTTCTACAAAACATTATATTTACCTGCTTTTTTTTATTAGGGAGTTCAGTGTCAGCAATACTAAAATGAGTGCATTTTTAGAGGGATGAAACAAAAATTTTGTTCAAAACTTTGATATTTATATTGCATCCAGATTGAGGTGCATATTAATCACAATGTTTGATCTCAAATGATATTTGCCCCCTTTCTTGCTTGCTTGGGATTCATCGGTAACCAATCAGAAAACTTTGCTGAGGAAACTACCATCAGCACTGAAATAAATTTGCTTCTGAGACAGGTGAGAAGTAAATAAGTTGAGTTGACTTTCAAAATAAGTCTGTTTATGTTTTTTTGAGAAAGCTCATTTCAGTTTAGTCATTTTTTTAAAAAGGCAAGGATCTTACTTTATTTTATTTAATAATTTTAAATTTAATTATTTTAATAATTTAAGTTATTAAATTAATTATTTTAATATTCCTAGTGCTTAGAAAATTGCCTCACCCATAAGTATATGCTTAATAGATGATTATGGAACCAAGCTAAATCATTTTAATAAATAATATAAGTATTAATCTGAAGGCATCAGTTTACCTGATGAGTATCAATAGGAAAGTCACCTGCTTTGTACAGAGAAGTCCTAAAACTTTATACTGTTAACAGCCAGAACCTGAGTTTATTTTTCAACCCTGACACAGTGACATTAACATACTGTTACTGTTCAAAGGAACTCATGCGCAATGCAGTACCTTTACAGCGAGTTACTAAATACCTTTGTGGTACTGTTTAAGAGAAGCAATTTCTAGACATGTATTTGGCAATGTTAAATTGTCCTTTTGATAGTTTACATAGAAGAACAAATATTAAACAAGACCACACTGGAAATTCAGAGTAAAGCACAAGTAGAAGAGAAAGCAGCAATAACTGTTCAATAATGTTTAAATCTTTTCCACTTTGGATAATTAACTTGAAATGCAGCAACTGCCAGCAACCTTGTAAATATTTAAAAATGGCATCTATGAAAAAGCAGGAATGAAAAGTGTTGTCAAATATTTCATTTAATTACCTTACCAATACAGATTTCATAGTACTGTCTCAGTGTCTTTTTTTTCCTTTCAAAATATATGTCATGGAAAATTTTAAAGAGAACTGATGTTTATTTAAGAGGCCATTAAACAAAATTTTCACTATTTACAATTATTTTTATTTACAGCATCAGATAACCAATGGAATCTCATGCCATCAATCAACATAAATAGCAAGGTTTCCATTTGATAATAGAAGTTAGATTTATTTAGGGCCTCATTATAATTGCACAATAAAAGCTAATTATTTTAAAGATATCACTTACAATGTTAAAAGTATCATAAAGCTCACAGCTGAAATGCTGTCAGAACATTTTTTGAAGTGCATGTTTTGTGGCATTTAATCCTGCTTTTCACTGACAGCATACAATGAACCATATAGACATTATTTTCAGATCCATTAGAGGGGCCTAATTTTTTCTAATCTCCTTATTTTCTCTGCTCCCCTGATAGGTGAAGTCTGGTTTGGTGTGCCCTCCACAGCTGCCATGGCAACCAGTCCATCACACGCAGCTAACCTTTTCATTCATGGTGTGGATATTGTCTGTACAAGCATCTTCTGGATGTGGTTTTCCTAGAGATACCATAGAGCAGTCATTATCTGTGGTCTTGGAATCTTTCTTAGAATTCTTTTTTTGTCCCCTTTGGAGTTGACTAGACTTGTAAGCCAAAGTCGGTATAGTGTTCACTAAAATTAACTGCAAAGGTTTTTTGCTTTCCTTGTACTGACACTGAATATACCGTGAAAAGGCCGACCTGTAGGTTTTATTGAACAGTGTGTAGACGAGGGGGTTGACGGCTGAAGAGAGGTACCCGATCCAAACGAACACATTGAGCAGGGCTCCGATGATGTTTTCATTACAGGACTCTTTGCAGATGACAGCCATGATGTTCGTGATGAAGAATGGGCACCACATCACCACAAACAGAAAGAAGACAATGCCCAGCACCTTGCAAGCTTTCTGCTCGTTGCTGATGGATTGCATAGTCCTCCTGCCAGCATAGGATCCTGGCTCCCTGTGGATTGACCTTTGGAAGAGCTTTTCTGAAGACAGGGAACTCTGAGGCAGGAAGCTGAAAGAAGATAATTTGGCCCGTGTGCCAAGATCGCTAACACACAGAGTAGCTTCTTTCTGAAGTGACTTGATAGTTAAAAAGTAGGTGATCACCATGATGGTTAAGGGGATGAAGAATGACACAAAAGAACCAATCAGGACAAAGTTGTCATCAGCGAGAAGGCAACTCCCCTCCTTAAAGACCTTGGAATCATCCTGCAGCCCAAAGACTGGGATTGGCATGGATATACCTGAACAGAAACAGAAAATGAAACAGCATGATTCAGGAGTTGAGCTCACAGAGGAAAGTGCATCACCACATAATTGTGGCTGTTCCAAGGATTTTGTATCAACCTTGTTTAAAAGCTTAATATAGGCTTTCAAGGAGAATTTATATTCCTTGGCATTTATCTGTTTTATGTGTATGCACTAGATAGCTCCTCATATGTTGTATTACCCTAAATAATCCTTTTTATGTATAAAAGATTATGGTAAATCTAGCTTTCCTTTTTCATGCCATATTTTTATGACTATAACATTTTATTTATTAATTGAAGAAAACACACATAGGCAAAGAAACACAAATAAAAATGACCAATAATACCATAATCCAGAAATAACTGCCACAAACAATTTGATGCTGTTTATTTTAAATAAACACACATGCTGTGTACACACATTATAAAATAGAACTGAGATTCTACTTCATAAATGGTTCTGTAAACTTTTTCTTCACCTAACAGTATATCATGAGCACAGTTTATATATAAAAACTTTGTAAAATTATGAACTTAGTATATTTTCTTTCTAGTAAGTTTGGAAAATACAAAAATGTAACAAAAAAGTGAAAACAAGATGTATTCTCAGTAGCCAGGGTTCAACCACAACTAACATTTCTTCTTCCGTTTCCATTTGAGATGCGTATATGAGGTGTGATAAAAGATAAGGTAAATGAGAAAATTTAAAAAATGTATTACAGTAAAAGACATATTTTCATTAATTCCACCCCTGGATACTCCCCCTCACTTTGAACACATTTATCTCTTAGTTGCTGCCACTTTCAGAAGGAATTCTAGAAGTCCTCTGTGGTGAGTGAGTGTCCTTAGTTATGTTGCTGTGGCTGTCTGCATATCTTGAGTCAATTAAAAATATTTACATTTTGATAATATTGACTTTAGGGAAGAACCAAAAGTCATAAAGTATGCCCTATTCAGTGACTAAGGTAGCTGAGGATGCCTGTTTTTATGAGCCTGCCTTTCCACTGATGGCACTTGTCAGCATAGACACTTGTTATGGCTTGTCTAGATGTTCCCCCAAAGCCTCATGCAATCATAGGTGGGGCTTTTTCAAAGGTGGCTGAATCTAGAGTGCGTGATTGATTCATGGTGTAATGCTAGGATTAATGGTGGTAGGATTAAGGGTGTGTGATTACTAAATCAGTCACTGATTGATTCAGTGCCACCCTAATCCCAGTAGCCCAAATACAATATAAGGGACAGAAAGAGGCTTGTTTTGTTTCTTGCTTGCTCTGCTACCTTCTGCCTGCCATGAACTGTTTCTCCTCTGCAATGCCTATCTGCCATGCCACCTTACCTTAGAGGCAGCCAATTATGGACTGAAACCTCTACAAACTGTGAACTAAATAAACCTTTCCTTCTTTAACTTTTGGTGTCAGGTATTTTGTCTCAGAAACAAGAGAAAAGTAACTAAGACAACAATCATGAAAACAGACTCTAGAATTGCTTCAGAAAATGCCAAGAATGTTGGGATAAGTGTATTCAAAGTGAGGGAGAGTGCTTTGAAGGAGTTTAATGACAATGTGTCTTTTACTGTAATGCATTTTTAAAAATTTAAACATCCTCCATATATTTTTATCTATGCAGTACTTTATGTATATTTTTAGGTCTTCCTGTTCCATTTAACATTAAATCAAAAGGCACATATATTTGAAAGTATTTTTGAAACATATGATTTTCTAATATTAATTTAGAATAATTCTAACCAATTTGAATACTTTACCAAAGATATGTTATGATGGAAACATTTTAACATATGCAAAGCCCCCCCAAAGAAGAGCAAAAAAAGCTCATCATATTGAACCTGTCATCTAGTTTTCACAATTATCCACTCAAGACCAATTTTGTTTTACTCATACTCCCACCTGCTGCTATGTATGCCGTGTTATTTTGAAGCAAATCTCAGATATATCATTCAATTTGTGAGTGTTTCACTATATAGATCTAAAAGCTATGCAGTTTTAGAAGTACCTAGCATCACAATACCATTCTCATTCCTAAATAGACATTTCATATTTCTTTAATATCATTATAGACATACCATTCAAAATGTTGCATAAAAGCATCACGTTTTTAGTAGTAGCATATTCATGAGGAAGGATTACAAAATCAAGGCAGCCACAGTTTTTTCTTTTATTGACCAACCTAAGAGGTACAGAATGTGATAATATATGGGAGCATGATCATGTAGTTGCTCTGTCACTGAAATTTGGGAGACATGTAAAGATTCTCCAGGCACAGAGCTCAGGAAGATGAAGGACAGAAATGAAAAAAGGTGACACTTTCCCTGTGATAATGCTAATTTCTCTCCATGAGGATAGGACCTTATTTAAGGGGGCTTCAACTGACTGTTTTGTGTGGTTTTGGCCCTTTCTGAAGATCAGGCGATGCCAAGGACGTTGGGTCTTGCTGTGCAGGCTGCATTCCCCATGGGTTGTGTCTGCTCTTGTCTCTGGCCTGGGACTGCTCAGGCTAAGGTAATCATGAGATGTCTTGTTCTTTGTACCATAAAGAAAGAACCAGGGTTATGAGAAAGGAGAGAAAATGATCATTAACTGTATAGCTTGGTTCCAAGTTACTTCTTTTGCAAAAATGTAGACATCTGTAGGGATGGATAGGGGAAAAAATATATACATTGAAAACTCCTCCAAGGGAAAATCAAGTAGAGACACCTTAGGGACAGTTTGAGAGGAAGGATGAGAAAGACATTTCTTTCTCACTCCTGCCTATATTTTCAGTCCCCCTGAGCAGTATAACAGAAAGTATACCGATATTTCTTCTGACCACTCTGTAGAGTCTAAGGTGTGGTCTCACGACAGCCAAGAACACCAACTCATTCCAGAGTCTTGGCCCACTCCTTGACTCTTGCCACCCACTGGAAAGAGGTCCATCTGAGGATGTGTACTCTAACTTCTGCATAGTCAGAGCAGAGTTCAACTCTATCAAACCACAGAAGTTGACTGTCCTAACTCATATCACCTTACCCTGGCCATCCTGGCAGTGGGGAACATTAGCTTCGGGTATTTTAATGTTTAACACAAATCCTTCATATTGGCATTTGCCATTATCTTCACGGTTCTAGATGACAATATTTGTTACTTTTCTATCCAAGCCCATCTCAATATTCTTTGAAGGTAGAGATAAAAAGACACCAGTGCTATTCCTAAGTACACTTATCATAGCTTATGACTTTTCATTTCCTTCATTCCTCTTTGTCCCTGACCCATTGTTCAGAACATTCCATGGGCCACGGTCTGTGCTCCAAGAGGAATATCCTCTGAGACCCTGCTTACCCACTAGTTCTGCTTATCCTTCAGAAAATTCTTGATCATAAAAGATAAAGCATGATTTCCAAGAAGAGTGTTTGCTTTTCCAGTTTTTGAACATGGAAGATATTTCCTGTATTCATCCACAGTCTTGTTAGACAGTGCAGTTTCACTGATTAGAATGGATGCATTTAATATCCATTTAAGATAGCCCTAGATTTGAGTCTTGGATATGGCTCTGAGCTCCTGGACTGCACACTTCATCCTTGTGATGCTCACTTCTTCATCAGTAATATGATACTGGCACTGACATACTTTAATGTAGGTGGAGGTATGGAAAAAATGGGTCAAATATAAAGAGTGCCCAGAGTAGTGCCTAGCCCAAAGATGATGTTCGACCAATGTTAGACAAACATGGAATAACTTTCTCTGCGGAGTTATTCAGATAAAATACATCAATACTATTTTATTTTAATCATTTTATTTAGTTTGTCCACACTAGATGCTATGAATTGATTTTCATAAACCAAAAGAAACTAAAAAAGAGTTTTGGCTATTGGCTATGTAACAATGATGTAATTACTAGCTTCTGCCAGGGTGAGAAAGGGTCTCAATCAATTTTAATTTGGTACAGCTAGAACTGTTGATTCATTTTACAATGTGATGAATTACAGTAATTACTATTAGTCATGATACATGTAAACAAAATACCAACTGTCCAAAAAAGGTATATCATTTTTTTTTATTAAAGTCCTGGCTATTAAATTTCCTGATTTATGCAAAGGAAGTTGCTACCTTGAAAACTTTTTGTCCTATTTGTTTGCTACCTGGTAAGTTATAAGGAATGGCAATTTTCAATTGAACAGAATATGGGATTACCTGGAATGTCAAATTCTTCAACTGTTTAGAATTAAGAACTATGTCCTTGGTTAGGAAAGCACTCCTCCCTCCCCTCAGGTATAACTCAATTCCAACTTCTACAGCCAGGGAATGTGATGGAGCCATTTACACTGATGCAGAGATTCCCCATTTTAGGTGTCTGGAATACACAGCCTTTCTAAAAGAAGAATGTGATACTAGGTTATAAACAGGGTTGTTCTGTGTCTGGAAAAGAGGCTTTGATTTGAGGGGGAGAATCAAGCTGGTAGGTCTTTAAATGACATTCTTCTTTAGACATAACAAAAATATAATGACACCATATACCGTTCTTTTTCAGTGCTTCATTCATAGTGGTCAGGAAAGGTCTGTAAAAAGACTAGCTGGAAAGTTAAAGCAAGATTCTATAAAGAGACGAAGAAATTTTGTCAAAGAACTAGAACATTTAGATAGGCATTGTAGGTACAATAAACAGTTCGAAACCATGCTCCTACCAAGAGATGAAGACACTGGCTCATATCCAAGATTGTGGTCACAGCCAACCCCAGGACAATAATTTTCCAGCTGCTTTGTTTGATAATAACCGCTTCTGGAGACCTGATATCTCCTCTCCCTTGAAATTTTTGCACAGAAAGCATTTTCCTTTATGAACAAACAGAAAGTAGCTTGAACTATGTGACTCTGCATTTTGTCTAATTTTTTTTTCTGAGGAGTGGAAAACAGCAATCACAATTTGCTATCAGAATTAGATCCTCCAAGCACATTTTTATTTCTTTCTATTAAAATTCAGACAATGAATGAAAAGGAAACACT